TTCCACATTTGTAGCATTTTGGTAAACCTTGGTCTTCATACTCACTTTCCACTTTATTTTTCTTCTTTTGATTATCAAAGGATTTTACCTTACCATTTCTGTTATTCTCACGAAAATAGAAAGAACTACCCCTACCCTGTTTTCTTTCTAACTTTAAAAACTTTTTGAAATTTTTTGAAATGAGAGCAAATCCTTGATCGAAATCATCTCCTGATCCTTCATCATTTGAGACTTTCTTCTCACAAGCCTTAAATGTTAAATTCCTATTTTTCTTGTCATTATTCTCATCACCTTGAGCTTTTAAGGCAATTTCATGACTAATTAGAGATCCTATCAAATTTTCAATACTGAGAGTAGATAGATTTTTAGCCTCTTCTATGGCAGTTTTCTTAGGCATCCATTCTTTGGGTAGACACCAAAGAATTTTCCTGACCAGTTCAGCATTATCATAAATTTTTCCTAACGCACTAAGTCTACTTACTATTAAGTTAAACCGCACATACATATCAGAGATAGACTCACCTGGGTGCATTTTGAACATTTATATTCATGCACCAATTGATATATCCTGGACTCTTTTACCTCAGTTGTCCCTTCATGTGATACCTCCAAGGTTTTCCAGATCTGATGTGCCGTCTTGCACCTGTTCACCTTATTGAATTCATCTGGACATATCGCACAATATAAGACATTTGTTGCTTTAGCATCTAACTCCATCTTTTTTAGATCATCGCTAGACCATGTGTTGGGATCATCTTTGATATCACCCACACCATTCTCAACTACATTCCAAATGTCAAAACCCATCCCTTTAAAGAAAACAATCATACGTGTTTTCCAAAAGGAATAGCTGTATCCATCAAACCATGGTGGTCTAACATATGAAAGACCCTCCATATGAGTAGAATTAGAACCATGATTTGTAGATGACCCACTAGCCATGCTTGGTATATCGGATCTCAGTTTCCTCGCAGATCTTTCGATCTTTTTGAGGGAGCCGGGCTCTGATACCACTTGTAGACCAAGCTGGGTCAATAAGGGATACTTTTGACGTGGTCAATGCACAAGTTAATTCAGATTTCAATAGTGAGAGATTAGCACTAGCTTGATTGAGCAATCCAAAAGGACTTTCCAAGAATCTCTCCTGAAGTGATTAACCTGTTGGCACTGATGAATAGAACAAAGTTTAGAGGAGGTATAGAGAGAGAGAGATGAGTCGGGACACGCGATTTTAACGTGGTTCGGCCAATATGGCTTTACATCCACGTCCCAGAGATAGTTACCACTATCTCACGAGAGACTCTAACTTTTATTAAAATAAAAGACTCTCTAACCTATGAAATTGAAACAACCTTGACACTTCGTATCAAGAACCAAATAGGTGCAACTCCACACCTATTCAACCCTTAGCTAAATCCAAGCTAAGCTACCCACTCAATCAATCAAGGCAACACTCTTAGTTTGACTTGATTGAAGAGCAATCCACCTAGTGCAACTCCCAAGCAAGAATCCCCTCTTGCTCTTGCGCTAGTCCCAATTACAAATGCCCTTCTACCCTAAAACCCGACCTAGCTCGAATATCTCAATCCCCGAGATATCAAGCTATTCACACCACGAAATATGATCACACAATTTCGCTATTACAAGGGAGAAGAAAACTTTGCAAAAGGTTGTCTTGACCTGAAAATGACTCTCCTATTTATAGTTGATGTGAGCCTTCATTTCCTTTTATTTGTAATCCTTTATGCGGCAAGTATCTCCTTGATTTGATTCCCTTTTGTGCTTGATATGGTAACTCCTTTGAGGACAAGCAATCACTTTGAATTGTTTCCTTTTTCCTCATCATTGATTGTGATATTTCTGCATAGATTGTTAGTTCCACATAATAACATATATTCAAAGCAAAATATCCCATGAAATTCAATTTGCTGAATCAAGCTTCTTGACTCAACAACCTAATCCACTATCAGCCAATAGAAAGACTTTAAGATTCTTCTTAAGAAATGAGGCTTAAGAACTTGAACTCAACCCAAAAAACCCCTACCCAAAAGAAAAAGTAAAGAGTCCAGCAAACATGACGAATGGCTATCCACTTGACCACTCCCGGTTGCTCCCTCGCCATTAAAACCCCTCCCCTGCTTCCTTCCTCCAACTCCAATTCTTCTACCTCCCCCGCCGCCGTTTTCCACCTCTCCACCGTCATCAGCCGTAACCTCCCATCTCCGCCGCCGCTTCCTCGCCCCCAACTCACCACCAAAGAAGACTCCTCCTCCTCCTCCACGGCCGCCACGACCCGCAAATTTTCCCGCCGGGACAGCTCTCCTGCCAGCAGCGGAGGAACTCCCACCACCAGCATCCTCCGCTCCCCGCCATCAATTCCGAAGACCAAAACGTCTCCCGTGTTGAAAAGGAGAAAGAATCTCCTCTCCCTGTACCCGATTCCCTCGCAAATTCTCGCCCCTGCCTCTAATTCCCCCTTCCGGCAGTAAGTGTAGCTGTTCCACCACCATCCCCCGCCACCGCGGCCGCGGCGGAACGTGCTGAAACTCCGGCGGCTGTGTACGACCAAGATCGTCCAGCTCCGGTTCCTCGACGGCGGGGCCGAGAACGCCGCTTTTATGGGAATTTCGGGGATCTCGTCGAAAGGGCGGAGCCCCAAATTGGGAAGCTTATGGTAGCAGGACGGCCATGGAAGCAGGGGATTGAAGCAGGCGCAGATTACCCGATTCGATTCCAGAAGCCACCACCCGCTGGACCACGTGTACACCACGTGCAGTTGCGGCAGACTCAATAACCGGCGGGCATAACAAAATAACCAGCGGACCCTTCCGCCGGGAATGTCGTCGCCGATGTGAGATCGGACGTGGATAGGGTGATTTCGTCCGCCGGCGAGAGGAGCCGTCAGCGGCGGGGTCCCGGCGGCTGCGTGGATCCGATGCCAGTTCCTGCATACCGATCCGAAATCAGTCCGGCCGTAGTGGCCGGGAGGGAGCTTGCCGTAGATCGAATTCAAGAGATCCGGGCAAAGCTCATCCCATCGATGACGAGGCACCCCTGGCGTTACTACTTCTCCGGCGAGGGTCGCTTGTCGTTTGGTGGAACAAACTGGTGCCCAGCATGAAATCATCACCGCCGGACGATTTTTTCCACTCTCTTCCTTACCTCGTCCGGTTGATTTCGAACTCTACCTGAATTCTGACTCTGGTAGTATGAGGTGATTGGTGAATCCATTACCTCGAATTTTCTGTCTTAATAGAAGGGGGTTTTCTTAATAAGGATCGGAATTTCGTCTGATCATATTATAACTAATTAGTCCTTGAATGTTTAGGACTCTTATTTTCTTCTAATTAGTGATTGATCTCAATTGTGAATGAGAATAATCATGTTTTAGGACTTGAAAATGAGATAGAAGCTAAACTTAAGAGAAGTGTCTAGGAATATATTTTAGTTCGTGCCTTAAATTCAGCTTTTGTTTATAGTTGGTGTCTCAAACCGATTATTTACCCATTGGCATCTTAAGTCGGGGGCATAGGTTATATATGACTAATCAATTTGGTTTGGTTAACGGTACCATTAAGTATGAAAAATTAAAAATAAAATCATATAAATTCTCATAAACTAAAATCGTTATTGGTTAATCGAAAATCGACTTAATAGTTTTAATTTGGTTTGGATAAACCAAAAAATCTAAAACCAAACTCATAGTTTGTGAAGTTTGAATAGACAACAAGAAGTATGAAGATAGGAAAGAAGAGTATTACACATAAGTTGGTGACAATGTGTGTTGTTGATGGGTATTGACTTAATTAGGGTTTTATATATTTTTTGTTGATTTTAACCGAAACCAAAATCATTAAGATGCTAGACGGTGTAAAATCGAAAACAAAAACCATTAAACTTCTTAATGATTTGGTTTCGATTAAAACTGATAAAACAAATCAAATTGAAAATATGATGGGTTTAAAAGACTAAATAACTTCTGAGTTCCATATGGATAACCTAGCAAGAAATTTTGGAAAAAAAGTAAAAGACCAAAGAGCAATATTTTTAACCCGCAGGTGACCCACCAGTTGACCTTGACCCAGTGAGAAAAACGGGCTACACATACCTGCGAGTTGACCCGTTGTAAGGTTATCAAATTGGAAGTCACACGACATTGTTTTCTCCTTCGGTTTGTGAAATGAGTCTTTCTTCGAATTTTCCTCTTCGTCTTAACCCTATCTTTGGAATTCTAAATCGAACTTTTGAATGTTGATGTTTAATAAGTGTGCGAATTCTCATCATATGTTTGATTCAAGTACGACGTATTATTTTGGTGTAATATTATCTGCTATTTAGTGATATGTTAGATGAGATTTGATATAATTTATAAATGGATGAACATTATAATGATTTTTTTCCATATATTCAAGCTAAAGTGGACTAAAAAGATTGGACCATTAACCTTTAACGTACTTTTTTCAACTGTGCCAAAGTGCCAAACCGGGTTGACACTAAACTAGTTATTAAGGCGCTATTCCTACCTACTAAGCGCTACCAGCGCCTTTTACAACGCCTATGGCCAAGTCAAGGCGATCCTCCACCGCCTAGCGCCTAATTGAGCCTAGGCGTGCGCCTAGGCGCGCCTTCTTGAACCCTGTGGACTAATCGATCTAATTTGGACTTTCATAATTCATAGGATTGTTAAATTATATATCTCACATCATGTGAAGTTTAACATGTTGAACAAGTAAGAAAATATGCCTTATTTTTAATTCTATAAAGAATTTATGTACAAAATTGTTTCGATACTATGAAATAACATGATTTGAACTAGTTAAAATTTATTAACTAAACAATATGACACCTAAAAGTTATAATATAAGATTGATTAATGTTGAACATTTGATTATTTTTTTTATCACTACATCAATCACATGTACCATACACGACATACAAAATGAATGTATTAAATACGATCTAAGAATTTAGTAAACAAGCCTAGCTCGAACTCGACTCGACTCGGCTCGCTAATAAATGGCTTGGGCTCGAGCTCAGCTCATTTGTTAACGAGTCAAGCTCAAACTGGGGTAAAACTCGGCTCAGCTCGGCTCATTTGCAGCCCTAGTAGTGATAAGTGAATCGATCCGATGTGGACTCCGGCGATGGAAACTGCATCGTAGCGTCGCCACGTGGAAGATTCCCTCGTCAGCAGGCAAAGGAGCCAAATTCCAATCGCAAACAAACGACGGAAAGGCCCGGAATAATGATACCAATTTCTCCGTTCAAAATCGCTACTGGCCGAATAGTTCAGTCACTAAACAACCCTCCTGGCCGGCGGATTCCTTGGCCAATTCATCATCCATGGCTTCCGCCTCCACCTGCGCTACGCCGCCGTTGCGTCGTTGCCCTTTCTTCTTCCCACCGACGTCAACCTCTCCATGCCGCCGCCTGCTCCTATTCCCAATCCCACCTTCCGGCCGCATCTTCTTCACCATTTCAGCACTAATCGACGAATCTCCAAGCGCCAGCAGGACGGCGGCATTCTTCTCTCATCCGGCACGGCGGGAGAGGAGGCCACGTGTACCTGCGAAAGTGTTTTCGCAGCTGGGGTATCCGATTATTTCCCCCGACGACCACTGGGGAACGTGGACGGCGCTCTTCGGGGCCGGAGCTTTCGGCGTCTGGTAAGGAATTGGTGGGAGGAAATTCCTTTGGTTTTTAATCGGAAGGGAAAACTGATTTTTTGATTCTGTGAATGTTTTGGGGAAAGGTCCGAGAAGACGAAGCTGGGGAGCATGGTGAGCGCGGCGTTAGTGAGCACGTTGGTAGGGCTTGCGGGGAGCAATTTGGGGATAATCCCTCATGAAGCGAAAGCGTATTCAATCGTTCTGGAGTTTCTGCTTCCAATTACGATTCCCCTGTTGCTGTTCAGAGCAGACTTGCGGAGTGTGATTCAATCTACTGGGAAACTGCTATTGGCTTTCCTTCTTGGTTCAGGTTTGGCTCCCTTTCCCCACTCTTTCTGTTTGAATTGCCAATAGAGAAAAGTATGGTAAACTGAAAGAAAGTTCTGGTCGATTTGATGAGAGTCTCTCTCAATGTTGTTGTATAGGGTAGTTGATGGAAGCAATAGGATCTTAATGGTGGAGCAGATGCCAAGGCTCTGTTTTATATAGTAAGTGCCTTTGAGCTTCTGGTTGTGCTGAGTTTTATGGGTTGGTTGAACGTTCTGTTATTGTTATCCTTATGCTGCCGAGTACTAGGAAATTAGTCTTCCCACATTGTTGTCATGTAGTAGTGAATGAAATGTCTGATGGGTCTTCCTTCAAAAATGATTCACAACCATTAATCTTCCATCCCCTCTAATTCTTCACTGCAATGTCTTGTGCTGGACAGCGGCCACTGTTATTGGAACTTTAGTGGCTTTTCTGCTGGTGCCTATGAGATCACTTGGCCAGGACAACTGGAAGATAGCTTCTGCTTTGATGGGGAGTTACATTGGTGGAGGTCAGTTGCTGAATTTTGTCATTTCAATCTTCACTACTATGTTGTTCATGATTAAAATAATTTCAATTTGCTGTAACAATCATTCTAGGAAGTTAACTCTTTCAGCTTTTTTCCCTATCTGGCGCAGCTGTTAATTATGTTGCAGTTTCAGAAGCTCTGGGGACTTCCCCGTCTGTTGTGGCAGCAGGAATAGCTGCGGACAATGTGCTTACTGCTATATACTTCATGGTTCTATTTGCAATGGCTGCTAAAACACAGCGTGAGCCATCAATGTCAACTAATGGTAACTATATCTAGGCTAAGCCATCAAATGGGTTAGTTGGTTCATTCCTCGTGACAATCAGCTGTAACCGCTTCATCAACCTGTGAATCTCTTGGCAGAGGTTGAAGGGACTGCCAAATCGGAGTCTGAAGCAAAGACGACTGTGCTACAGATGGCTACAGCTATTGCCATCTCTATCTCCATATGCAAGGCTGCAACATTACTCACCCAGTCATTCAAGATCCAAGGAGGCACTCTCCCAGCTGTGACAGCTCTTGTTGTCATCCTAGCAACAGCTTTTCCTGCTCAATTCAGTTCTCTAGCCCCTGCTGGCGATACCCTTGCTGTAGTTCTGATGCAGGTAAAAGAACAAGAGCAAAATCAACCCATTTATGTAACTGATCCACCAATCAAGACGACCTGATTACTAAAATGACTTGCTTATCCAACACCAGGTGTTCTTCGCCGTGGTGGGAGCTGGTGGGAGCATAATGAATGTCATCAACACTGCACCTAGCATATTCCTTTTTGCTCTGATTCAGGTAACGGTCCATCTTGCTGTGGTTCTGGGTTTGGGAAAGCTGTTCCGGTTCGACTTGAAGCTATTACTTCTAGCGTCCAATGCCAACGTTGGAGGCCCTACGACGGCTTGTGGGATGGCAACAGCTAAAGGATGGAGTTCCCTGGTCGTCCCTGCGATCCTCGCAGGCATCTTTGGTGTCTCTATCGCAACGTTTCTTGGCATTGGGTTCGGCATGATGGTCCTCAGACACTTGTGATCATCAGATTTCAACAGTATAGAGGAAACCTAAATCTTTTTCTTGGTTTCCTGCATTTCCTTAGAGCAAAGCATATTCTGTTGCTCATTGGATGCTCCTGAATAGAATATGGTTGCTTGCTGGAAAGTCCTCTTCTGGCAAAGTCAACTGCTTGTACTTTGTTTTTATCAGGTCAACTGTACTTTCATTATTTGCCCAACTGTACTGCTTTTCTTAGCAGTCAGTGATTACTGTACTGGCAGTAACATACAATGTTAGGAGGAGACTGAATAGTGAATACTGTTTGATAATTCCGACGAGGGTTTATGTCGTGGTGGTAATGTTACGAACTTAATAGATCATCGAATGAAGTACAGTATGCTACCTGAATACAAAAACCAGTACAGTATGCTTCATCGAAGACTTTTTTTCCCTGTACGATTTCACGGATGACGTGGACTTGGGGATGTATTATAAAAACGTGGTACAGAATGAAGTGCAGAGGATCACCCATCCCTCTTTTAGAAGAGAACAAACAAATGAGGAACCTAAACGCCGTCGTTGGGGCAGTCTTGCTGGTTGCCTTAGTGGGATGGCTGATGATATGGGTAATGCTGCCCACAAAGGCTTACAAGAATTCATGGGATCCAAACCTTTCCTCCACCCACTTCAACTCGGTTTATTTCCAAGGACAAGGTAATTGGTGTTTTAGTAGCTAGTATTAGCTTTAATCTTGTTTATTGTACCATTAGGGGGTGATAAAAATTACGTAATTACCATTCTGCTCCTCTGTTAATCTGCAGGGACGAACCTTCTGCTCTTCTCCTTTCCTGTCATGTTCATAGCTGCTTTGGGATGTGTTTATCTTCATTTCCACACCAGACTCCAGGAACCCTTCTCATCCTCCAAAAGGTTTCGTTGATAAATCATAATTCGGTCGAAATTGTTGTGTCTTATTGTACTGAAAGTCTGAAACAACGATGAATTTATATAGATTACAACAATGACCGACTTCTGTAACCACCATATATAACATTAATACTATGAAAAATACCTAACTTATATATAGGAATATAATAAGGAACATAACTCCGCATCCGATTACATATCAATACTCGTAATACTACTTGCATTACTCATAATCTATTACTCTCCCAAATTGATGGGGTAGTAACTCAGATACTCTAACAAAATTTGTTGGCTGCAGAGAAGTCAAACCCAAACTAATTTCTCCCTTGTGGAGGCCATATGTGATCTCCCCGCTGGGCATAGTCACAGGAGTGGAGCTGGCTTTCATGGCGATGTTCATAGCACTCCTCATCTGGTCCCTGGCCAATTACTTATACGTTAGTTTCGGCCACCTCCACATGCACAAACAAGGAGAAAAGATGTAATTAAGCAGCCCTAAAGCTGCATATATATCTGTGTACTCTTGATTTTTTTTTTTTCCTGATAAAACAGCATTAATTGGCTGTTCGTTTCATTTTCTGCATGCATGCATGCAGTTGGCAGGCCAAGTTTCGCAGCGTATCACTGAGGCTAGGCTACGTTGGGAACATATGCTGGGCGTTTCTCTTCTTCCCTGTAACCAGAGGGTCTTCGTTGCTGCCTCTTCTAGGGCTCACTTCGGAGTCCACCATCAAGTACCATATTTGGCTAGGCCACGTTTCCAATGTCCTCTTTGCTCTCCACACAGTTGGGTTCGTCGTGTATTGGGGGATGACTGACCAAATGTCTGAGGTAAAATATTTCATATATAGTAGACTCGTTACACCGTACATCTTTCTGTGTTCGATATTATAGTTAAAGAAGTCATGAACCAAAATAGAAGAGCTACAAAAATAGTTATTAAATTGCGTTAGCACCGCATAGAAATATTATTCCCTCCTAGAGTAGTTGTTAATACGAATAAGAGAAAGGATGTTATAGTCATTTACTTGCACATTCAATGTACCCTACAAGTAGACAAAGCATAGACTTGAGTATAGTAAAAATAAGAAATTGAAAGATTTCATTAATACGAATAAGAGAAACTATGAATAGCCGTTTAGTGGACAATCAATGTACCCACTCTACGGATAGAGGAATACATGAAGTTGGATATAGTAAAAATAGAAAGATTTCATTAATATCGATAAGAGAAACTATGTTATAACCATTTAATGTACTCTATGGATGGAGGAATAGAAAGCGTTGGATATTGTAAAATGAGAAATTGATAGATTTCATTGACATTATTGCTCATTTGAAAATTTTCTGAAAAAGCTAATCATATATAAGTTATTCTCTCCATTGGAACAATAGGGTCATTACACTCAATACTAAACTCGTTAAAGAGATAAAATAAAAACCAAGGTATATCTTTTTTCCCCGATGTTGGATCAATCGTCAGAAGAAGAACTAGCACATGACTAATAATATGATTGAATTTCCGGAAAATCTGAAAAATTAGAAACGAAACTACATGTCACGCGACATGTCTTATTAAATAAATGTTTTTTTCCCTTTTCAAATACGTGTGTACAGATGTTGGAGTGGAGCAGGACATATGTATCGAATGTGGCTGGAGAAATAGCAATGGTGATAGCGGTGGTAATGTGGGTGACCAGTTTTGGTCGTGTTAGGAGAAAGATGTTCGAAGTCTTCTTCTACACTCACCATCTCTACGTTTTGTACATACTGTTCTACCTGCTCCACGTTGGTGCTGATTACCTGTGCATGATCCTTCCTGGGATGTTCCTTTTCATGATCGACCGTTACTTGAGGTTCTTGCAGTCTCAAAGGAACGCCAGATTGGTCTCTGCTCGGCTCTTGCCTTGTGGTAGCGTTGAACTCAACTTCTCCAAGTGCCCTGGTAAGAACGTATCCTATCCTACCATTTCTATATAGAGATTCTCTATCACAACATACTCAATTCAAAATTTCCAGCTTTGTAAGAGTTTGTAGGAAGGACATTTTTGTCATTTAAACAATTCAAATAAAGCATTTTTAGACTACTAAATCAAATTAATATGTCTATGCCTTATTTATACGTATAGTGGTAGGATTTATTATTAATAAATCCTACCATTACTATATAGAGATTCTCCATCACAACATACTCTATTCAAAATTTACAGCCTTGTGAGAGTTTGTAGGAAGGACATTTTTGTCATTTAAACAAAATAAAGCATTTTTATACTACTAAATCAAATTAATATGTCTATGTCTTATTTATACGTGTAGTGGTAGGATTTATTCATTAATAATAGATATGTCCAAATATTTTCAGACTTCTAAATCAAATAAATTTGTGTATTAGAATTTTTATTCATTAATAAAAAAGAAAGCATTTTTGGAATTGTAAATCAAATAAATATGTCTATACTTATTTATATGTGTAGTAGTAGAATTTTTATTCATTAATAAATAGGCCAAATATTTTTAGACTTCTAAATCAAATAAATATGTCCACATTATGTATACGTGTAGTTTTAGGATTTTTATTCATTCATAATCAATATGTCCACTTAAATATTTATAATCTTTAGTTTGGGAACGAAACGTGTGGGATTTTAAACTATTGGGTTAGTAGCTAATTAAAAATCTTTAAAAGACAAAGGTTTCATATTTGCAAACATCTTAGTTTTACGCTTAAGTAAAATTTCAATGAAATGAAGGTGAAGAAGAAAAATTCGTTTGATGGAGGTATTGAATTAAAAAAAATAGCGATAATGAGCAGTGACGTTGTTGAGAATAAGCGATAGACTATTGATGATGGATAGAGAGACTTTAGTGATGAATATAAAACTATAATTATTGACAGAGATGATGATATATATGGTGAAGCAATAGCAAAGAAGTCTATAAGAAACATTATAGTAATTTCTACTCAAGCAGTAAATTGAATGTAGTTTGATTAAGTTTTTTTAAGAGTTAGTCCCCTTCCATGAGTTCTATTTTTAATTTTCAGTAAGAACTTCCGTTGATGAACCAGTTATAATATAAGAAAACTCTATGATGCATGTTCCTTTTTTTTATTTTCCCATTAATTGAATAGTTTCAATATTTTGACTTTTGATATCAATAAAAATATATCTTGCTTAGTACAATTACAATTGTTACTTATGTGTTTGAAGTAATGCATCCATCCAACATGCATGGTACTTTTATTGATAACCGATCAGAAAATATTATGATGTTTGTTCATTTTTTATTTTTCACTAATTTAATAATCCGTATATTTTTAATTTTGGGATACTGCATCCGGCCAACGGGCCGGGTTTCAATCTAGTTATATATCTTTAGATTGTTGTATTTAAAGAGTATAATGTATGTAGGAGTGTCCATTTGATTTCCGTTTTAAAGGTAGAAATTCTGTTCAGATCGAGTTGAAATCAATAAGAGGGATTATCGACTTTCAGGGACTTATCTGTTTTGGGTTTCAGTTTTTCTTATTCGACATTCGATGAACCAAACTGCACGACAGCTCTAGTATTATGGTGACAAATTATGAATCTATTTTGTTGACAGGGTTGAAATACAATCCAACAAGCATATTGTTCATAAATATCCCCACCATTTCCAAGCTGCAATGGCATCCTTTCACTGTCACTTCAAATAGCAACTTGGAGCCCAATAATCTCAGTTTGGTCGTAAAAAGTCTTGGAAGTTGGTCACGAAAACTTTCCCAACAAATATCCTCCTCCGTGGATCGTCTCCAAGTCTCAGTTGAAGGCCCCTACGGACCCATTTCATCCCATTTTCTCCGGTTCGATACACAATCCTTCTTTCTGATTTTACGTTTGCTAGTATATATAATATTGCATACTCTAAATCGTACTTTTTCTTTTTTGTAAACTCTCCTAGGCACGAGGAACTAGTGCTAATCAGTGGTGGAAGCGGAATCACTCCCTTCATCTCCATAATCCGCGAAATCATCTTCCAGAGCTCAAACCCTAACCCACAAATCCCATCACGAATCCTTCTTGTTTGCGCTTTCAAGAACTCCACGGATCTCGCCATGCTCGACCTCCTGCTGCCCTTCGATGGCACGCCCCATCCGATTCCCGAGTTGTTGAACCTTCAGATCGAAGCCTACGTCACCAGAGAGAAAGACCAGCCCACCGATTCTGAGAAACAACCGGCCCAAACCAAACGGTTCAATCCGGCCCAATCGGACAGGCCCATCTCGGCGAATCTCGGGCCCAACGCATGGCTCTGGCTCGGTGCAATAATAGTGTCATCTTTCGCCCTGTTCGTCGTCCTCCTCGGGGTTGTGACTCGGTTTTATATCTACCCGATTGACCGAAATGCCCACGACGGCAGCTACCACTACTCCTACTTCGTCCTCTGGGACGTCTTCCTCGCCTGTGCCGGCGTACTCGCTGTCTCTTCTGCGGTTTTCCTCGTCAAGAAAAGGAGGGATTTGGCGGAAGGGAACAGAGTGAAAGGCTTGGAAATGGGAGTTTCGCCGCCGGGAAGTTTTGCCGGAGAGGTGGAAAGCGTTCCCGTGCAGTGCGTTGCTGGAGCTACCAACGTGCATTTTGGACGGAGGCCTGATCTCAAGAGTAAGGAAACGCTAAAACGTTACCGTTTTACTCCATCAAAATTATCAGAACCATTTTTTTTCCCCCTTGGAGGATTTATTAATTTGTTTCATTCATGCATGCAGGGATACTGATGGATTGCGGAGCGTCGGACGTTGGGGTGATGGCTTGTGGGCCTAGATCGTTGCGGCATGAAGTAGCCCAGATCTGTTCGCCAGGCTCGGCCCAAAATCTGCACTTTGAGTCCATTAGTTTTAATTGGTGATCCACTACTGTCTTCTCAAATTCCTCACTTTTCTGTGTCAAATATGGATTTGGAGTTGTCAGAAGTTTGACAAAAGTAAATCCTTTGTGTACTCAAAGACAAATAAAGAGAATAAGAAGCTGTATTCTGTACAATATGGTGTTTGTTTGGGTCGAAGTATTGCATTTTATCTCTCAATTATTTTGGTTTCTGATATAAATAAATAATGTTACCGATAATATATGTGACAAAGGTTGACGATCGAATGTTTAAATAATATAGCATGTATATATCGTGTTATATGAACTATGTGAAATAAGCATACATGAACAGAATCATCATTTAAATATATATAAACAAGACAAAGGAGATTGAAAAATAAAAAAATTTCTTTAAAGAGTTTTGTTCACCTCAATTGGTACTCACAAATAGAAGCGTCATTTAAATAAACAGACAAGACGAAAAATATGCAAATATACGACTTTATCTTCAAAGAATTTTGTTTCCCTCCATCGATACCCACGATGATAAAACAAATTTCTACTGAAATAAAACGACGTACACATAGGTTCGGTTGGAGAAATTGGTCTTATAGGCAACATAGTCTTCTTTTAAGTTGAAACATCCAAAAGTGTGAAAGGAGAGTAGAAAAGGGAACAAAAGTAGAGAAAATCAAAGAGATTCTTTTGCCGTTACCCTGACTAATAATTCGTCTGTCATAAGACTTCCCTAAACCCATAAGCCATTCCATTCAAAGCTTCAAAGCTCTCTTGTGTTTGTCCATCTTTTCCTACTTGCACGCCATGTTTGCCCCTATCCGCCAGGAAGCTGCCTGCAATCGAAGGATTGAAAGTGTAAGACATCTCTGTTGCATCGCTCTCACGCTTTCAAATCAGTATGTTTGATTGGTTGTTTTAGTAATTGGTAGCACTTGAAACACAGAGATGGGAGGTAAAGTTGTCAAGCTTGTGATTATGATCTTAGACAAAACAAAACAGCCTCTCCAAGGTAAGAAGATCACACATGTAAACATTCATTTTTCTGTAGAAAATCACTTACCAATTCTGTTACACGGGGGATGATGAGAAGATATTGAAACAGGACGATTTCTTAGTATCGAATGTCGCCGGAGAAACGGATGTAATTGCTGGATTGGTCATGTGGGCGTTAAGATTTACTTGCATCAGAAGGAAGATATGTTCGAGCTCTTCTTCTATACACACCATCTCTACATTGTCTTTGTTATGTTCCAAAAGTAAAGGAATTTCGGATGGAAGTGGACGGATTGACCTCTTTGTTATTCACTCAAACTTGTTTGACTGAAACGTACAAAATTAAAAAAGTGTGATCATTTTGTACAAAGTGAATAGGTTTGTAACCATTTATGATAACTAACGGCGAGACATGTTCACGTCCCATGTATCAAACTCCGAATCGCTTTAAACTTAATTTTCCTTTGGCCAATTTGGGTAATGAGTAGATGTGGTCTGGGAACTGGAAAGGTGTTACCCTTTCAGCAATAGGACAGAGTATTGTAGCTAGTAGGACTTGGCGAAAATGGCGATTTCTTCAGCTGGTTGTCCTGTCATCAAGCAAGTCTTGGTTCCAGCGGGCTGTTCGAACGGGAAGCAACGGATGGTTGCTCCGGTTTCTTCTTTCACTCTTGCTTCGTCTTCATCGCTGCGATGAGGGAGCAACAAATGTGAGGGGAAGGGAACTGAAAAAGAGAATGGCAGAAGGAAGATGAGAATAATACGATTACCTTGCGGACCAAGGACCCCTTGCCCATTTGCCCTGCGATATTGCTTCTTTGAGTTCATCATACGAGCTCACGTCGACAATGTTACTGCAAACGAGTGAGAAGAAGGAAGCAGTGAATTTGATTTCTCAAGTGAAAAGCAATGAATGGAAAAAAAATCTCATATGTCCTATGTCTAATCAGAAGGAAGATCACAGAGCTGTTCTGTAGACGATACTAGGACGAGAATATACCTATCTCGAAATGATGTGGCTTTAGCCAGCAGGGATGCTTGGATCTCATCCAGCTTGTCTTTTACGTAACCTACTAAAGTTGAAGGCTCCATTGATATTCCAAAAACTTTTCCTTGCTTTCCAGGAACATCTCTCCTTGATATCACAACACTTCCGCTTGCAACATCTCGAGGACCAATCTCAATCCTAATAGGGACCCCCTGTGAAAACCCGGGCCAACTATTTTACTTGATGGATTCGGAGTTGGGGCCTAACAATTATGTGTATAGCTTAGGTTTAGAAGAGTTACCTTCATCTCCCAGAAATTGAACTTCCATCCAGGGGTTCTCGTGTCCGAGTCATCAAGTTTGACTTTCACACCAGCAGAGTGCAGAACTTCTTTTGCAGAGGACGCAGCATTCAGAACCCCAGCCTTTTCATCGTCCTTTTTCCATATGGGCACAATCACAACCTGTAACGCAAATCCATATATCAGGAGGCCACGGCAATTGCAATACAAGTTCCCTTTCCCTATTCAATATCACTTGTACAGGCAAGAGGGATTTTATACAAGTAAGTTCAAATGTATTAACAGAAAAATATATACTGCTATTTGGTATCCTTGGGTGAAAATATATCAGGGCTGAAATGTTTTCATATCTAATAAGATCCTTGAAAAGAGCAAATCAAAGTGTCCCGGTAGAGTGGAGCACAAGTACCTGAACTGGTGCAAGTTTGGGAGGAAGCATTAGGCCAGCATCATCTCCATGTGTCATGATAATCCCACCAACAAATCTTGTACTGACAGCCCATGATGTTTGCCATATATGTTGCCTCTGGCCATTCTCATCCATAAACTGAATAAAGAGAAAAAAGAACATAAGTGGACTATTTGGAATATAACCTTTTTTTCTCGTATGTGAAATATTTGGATTGCCATTTAACAAAGCAACTAAGCCAGTATTAATGCAGGAAACTCAAATTGGTCCCAGAAGGATTCAGAAGATCGATTATTTCATAACAAAGAAAGTTCCTTGGTACTTGACTGTAACCATGACCCTACTCGATTAAAGAGATCCGAATAAACAGAGACACCCGGACTAAATGCAAACAGGAAACAGTGAGAAGGAAGCTAAAACAGGTCGGCACAATTGGCAGTGGTCCTTACAGGTTGCCTATGGTGTTGCATACATTTAAGAACTACAGAAAGGAAGTATAGAAAGTTACACAGTCAAAGCAGTGGGCAACAAGAAACATCGGGACAAGGTACTGAAAACTAAACTAAGTTACTTGCTACAGAAGTTCATGCAGTATCAACTTCAGTCTCCACAAACTAAAGCCCATCACAGAAAACTACCTAAAAAACTCAAGTACCGGGACTATATAGACGTGGAGGACAGAATGCAGAATACCAAGACCAAAAAAGTGAGAAATACATTTCTTTGACCATCTATTGTTTCTACTGTCCAAATATTCTCACGCTAGTTAATATTTTACTCCAATCACAGTTTGACAAAGTTGACCATCAAGCTATGGTGATTTAACACAGTTAGAAAAAAGTCATATAATATCATATCAAACGAATAAACGATGGATCATGTTGAAGAAACTAATTCAAACGTTGAGTTTTTTTTATAGCTTTCAGCAAGCGTGATGAAGGTCGACTGTAAAGGATATCCAATTCTCAACATTACTTTTAAGAGTAAAGATCTTACAATAAACATCCAGAAGTTACCTGCGTATCAAAAGCCCGAGAAAAGTTCTGGCCGAGGTTATGGCTGGTTCCAGCCTGTAAGGCCTTTCTATCACCCATCATAGCCTCTATTGTATATGTTCGAACAGCTCCGGCAAATGTTTCTTCTCTGGACTTCCTACCTACTACCACTGGTATTGCAGCCTCCTCATAAGCAAACTTTGTATAGACATCAATCATTTTCATAGCCTACAGTTCAGCAGTAGGAAGCCCATAAGCAAAATACTAAGTTTGCGTACAAATGCACGTCCTAGTAAATAGATTAGATACTATGATTGCATACAACTGCACATTCTTGTAAACAAATGAGATGCAAACCTCTTCTTCTGCCTCCTCTGGAGTTGCATGAGCAGTATGACCCTCCTGCCACAGAAACTCGAGAGTCCTCACAAATGGCTTCGTGCGCATTTCCCATCTAGTGACATTTGCCCACTGCAGTAGCGGAACAAAGCTTCATATACAAATGAGATGAGCTAACCAGATATCTCAAACCCTTCATATAAGATTTTAAACCCTCACCTGATTGATCAATAGAGGCAGATCACGATAACTATGAATCCACTGAGTGAACATGTGATTCACTATGGTTTCGCTGGTGGGTCGAACCTGCCACAACAACCTCGACGAGTGCAGAAATCAAAGACCAAAACTCAGACCACAGTTGTGTTTAACAAACTTAACCAACATTCACATCTCTCAACATGTAACACTAGAGCACTAGATTCTGAAGCAAGAAAGGCCAAGGTTGAATCTTCGTACCACAAGCTTTTCTTCGAGTTCCTTTCCTCCACCAATAGTTACAACAGCCAGTTCAGGACTGAATCCCTCAACATGACTAGCTTCTTTCTCAATAAAGGAATACGGTATAAACTGCAACCATAATTGAATAACGATTACTTGATTGCTGACAAGCAAAAGGGGCTTATCTGACACATACAAGCTGTGTGGAATTGGGAAAGACAGGATTACCTGTGGGAAGTACATATTGCTATGCCCGGTCTCCTTGAATTTGACATTCAAATAGTCCTGAATCAATAGCAAAACCAATTCAAACCAGTTATATTCAAGCATAAAAACCATATGAGAAATCTTCATACCAGCTTATCGCACCTGGATTGCCTCCCAAATGGCGTAACCATAAGGGCGAATGACCATAGTTCCACGAACGGGGCCATAATCAGCGAGCTCGGCATTAGCAATCACATCGAGGTACCAAGCATTGAAGTCCTGCGAACGAGGGGTGATGACTCGGTCCTGGTTGGTCTTACTACTATTACTACTCTTCTTCAGGTTTACAGCTAGCTCCTCGGTGGTCTCCGGAGGACTGGACGCGGCACTCTGGGCCGAAAACTTCGCCGCAGCGAGGAAAGGCTGCCGCCGGCTGCTGTGGCGCCGGCGGAATAGAGCAGCCGGAGCCCGATGAGTTGACCGAGAAGAGGCGAAGAAGAGGGAGGTGAGCGACGGCAGCCGGAGAGACGCTACTACTACCATTTCTCGGCGAGCGGAGAAGCAGGGAAGCTTTTCCCGTGGGGTTTAGCAGATTGGGAGTAGCTGCTTTGGAAAGGAAGATGAGGCTTTGCGAAGAAGCGCGGAGAGAGAGAGAGAGAAAGCAGTTTAGCTTATTCACACAACTGATTGGGCTGCACATGTTTAATGAGCCCAAGAATACGAGTTGTTGGATCAAAGTTGTAAATTGGTAAATCCGTAATAAGCGTTCCAAATGGACCTTCAGGCCCAACAAATGAGAAGCTCTAGCAAATCCACTACTGACATAAGAAGGAAGAAGAAGCCGTCTACATTACTATTTACTGGCCACAGGCTACAGTCAAGTGCTTTAGGTCAGCAGCTAAGCACGATGTGATCAATTAACAAAGGTCAAAGGACATTGATCAAACAGAACCTAGAGAGATGCCAAACAGAATTGGCAACATTCAATAAGTTTCAACAACAAAATTCACATCTAGTGCTTCAGGAAGGGTAGATTTCCAATGCTTCAGTTTGATCAACAGCAGTTAAGGAGAAGCGATCAGCTGGAAGTTGACGAAGCCGTGGTCATTATCCAACCAGCTTGAATCGGATTTGGGCGATGGTGGACTGGAACAGGGGGAAGAATGAAGGTTGCGCATTGTGGGAAACTCAAAGTCCCAACTTTCCTCTTCTTCCATCGGATCGTAGTGCCGCTTAGGACTGTCAGGCTGAAACATAGGGTAAAATGGGCCAAACTTGTTAACATGGTTAGATGAAGGTTTTGCCCAGATTGGGTAGCTATGGAGATTCTTCCAACTGACCTCTACTTGGTTTGAACGCCGGTTCTCTAACTGCTCAGAACAATCTGGAGAAAAAGATACAGCAAAGGGTGTTCAATGAAACTCAACATGGTAGGAATTATGATATCATGCATAACAAACAAACAAACAGTGAATCAATTGATTTACCTTTGTCTAAACCAAGGATCTTCAAAAACTCATCCAAATCCATCTGTCTGTTCTGGGCCTTGATGCATTCGTCATGATTGTGCAGAAACCCTTCCTCAGCAATTGCACATGGATGCATTGGGTCTTCCTCCTGCACAACACTCAGCCTCTTGCTGTTCTTCACTGCCTTCTTCTGCGATATATCACTTCCCTTTGGCACGTTGGACGAGTTTGAGATATCAGAAAGGACCTTCCTATTCCCAGAAGCTTTAACACTCGTTTTCCCGCTTGCAGCATTGGCTCCTCCAGCGAGACCAGCAGACTTCTTTTTTCCATTCAATCCTGCAATTCCTGAACGAGTCTGCTGCTGCTTCTTGGATGTATTGTTCAGAGAAGAAGAGTTCTTCAATGCGTTTGACAAATCACCCAGCGGTGTCCTCCCACCTAACCCTCCTCCTTTCTTGGATGTCTTGGAGACATCTGTTTTCAGTCAGTCAGCAGATAATTTTGGGTAAGTTGAAAACCTAGCCGAGTTGCCAAGAAGTAGACACACATGGTACAGTAAAAGATGAGAATTGAGAAATAGTCAATTACCTTTGTAGTCAACAGTTCGAACCGGAGCAACACCTCCGCCAACTCTTGTCGCCATTGTCGTAAGATTCGGAAGGGTGGTTCTAAACTTCTAATTACCCAGAAAAATCAGTGATGGAACGTCGTTAATTGTAGTTCCACACGTATGGATCAAAATTCTCTAAAAGGATTTGAAGTGGGCACGATCTATGCTAAATCCCTAAAATCAGAAGAACCAAGAAATTGAACCCTCAACAATCTATAAAATCAGAACCAAAAACTTGAATCCCTAAAATTAGAAGAACCCAGAATTCGAAACCCTAAAATCAGAAAAACCCAACACTTGAATCCCTAGAATCAGAGGAACCCAAAACTTGAACCCCTAAAATCAACGAGAAACACAGAGGGTTCTCACGAGAAAGATACTTACAGTCACAGAGATTGATCACCCTTTCCTAAACTTGCTTCGCAACTCTGAGACCTAGGGTAATTTTCCAATAATCCTGTAGAAAATTCAGGACAGAACAGCGATTGTACACTTTCAAAAGATCGATTCTCTAAGTGGGTTCCAAGGGGGGGGGGGGGGGGGGGGGGGGGAAGAATCTTTGCTACTAAGTCCCTGAACTTTGAGAACCCAGAACTCGAATCCCTAAAAGCAGCGATAGCAACGAACAGAAATCTCAAAGAGGAAGAAGACACTTACGGACACGAGCGCGATTGATCTTTCTGGAACTGCTTCACAGACTCTGAGAACTCGGGTTGCTGTCTTGAGAGTTGAGAGTAATGGGAAATCGGGGAAGGAAATCGGATAACTGAAAAAATGACCTTTGTTCTTCTTCCAACGGCTCCTTTCTTGAAATATATACGCCGAGGCGGGGGAAAGTGGGAAAGGCGGTATGTCTCGTGGCAAATTTTCTGAACGTTGGGCCGGCCAGCCCAATATACTAGCTCAACGGCTACTGAGCAGATCATCCTTCTTTACTTGGGCCAAGACAGGCTCAGATGAGCCGAAATCAGAGACTAGTTTCTTTTGTCATTCGTTATCTTACTAGCTTATAACCCGGCCGGTTGACCGGAATGTTCATATTTGATTATTTATATTTTTATGTTACGTTTAAGTTAACTTATTAATTTTTTTAATTTTATTAACAATCCTTCGATTGAAATGATATATAAAGAAAGAATATATAGGTCGAAAATTCGGAGAAACATCACAATCATTTAAGAATATGAAATATGAAAATGTATCATTGATCCCATTTTCATAGTGATAATAAAGCCCCCGTTAAAATGCTAATGATTAGTTGATTATCAAGAAAGATAGAGTATAAAAGCTCACACGACCTGTAGAAATCAACCTCACAATCCTACATAAGGGATTTTTTTTTTACAAAAGAAAATCGTATAGTGATTAAAAAATGCTCTCATTTTAGGTAAAATATGCCACTAATCAAAAAGAAATGGAGAGTTGTTTGATTCAAGTCAACTATATACTAACAACTCAGCTAAGAGGACCATCAAAACTTGAGAGAAAACGAATAATTAGGGTTACCTCCAATATACTAACAGACTCGATCAAAGTAATAAAACCAAAAATTAGATACTCCTTATCTATCAGTTCCAGTAGGTTGAATCGAGCTCCTTCAGTAAATCAATCCATCAATGATTCCTCGTTTTAAGATAGAAATAGGTTGTGATAGATGCAAAAATCATAAAGCTAAAGATTCAATAGCCACCACTCTTTGTCGTACAACCAAATTTTTATCCACGCTATCGTCAATTTCAAGAGGCATATGTTTCAACCAAAAAATCAATTTCTAATCCTCCTTCTGCAACTCCATTTATTGACCTCGATTTTGTTCGGATTGATATCAGAGTTGACATCTTCTACTTGCCCAGCTTAAATCCCCAACAATAAAATCGTAGTGCCAAGACATATCGGAAGATTAATTTTCAAAGACGGCCTTGTACTGGCAAGTGAAAGGGGCGCAAACTATTGCACACTGTAGGGAATTTCGGAGAAAGTTAGAAAGAGATAAGAACAAAGATAAAAAAAAAGCACAAAATTTATATTTAAATTGAATACTACATACCGTAGACTTAGTGGGCTTGCTAATTATGATGGAAAAGTCCTCATATTCTCAGAGTTTAACTTCGTGTATGTTTTGTATTCAAAAAGATACAACAAATTTATTTAGTGTAATTGGTTGTGATTGTTGTCTTTGTTTGAATAGACATGGGTTCAAATCCTGATATTAACATTTTTACATGAAATAAATAATTATTTGTAAAGACCAAATTGTCCTTCCTACATTCACTCTCGTTGCAGAAAATTTGAAATGGAGAAAAGTAGACAAAACTCTACTATATATTATTGGAAGATTCGAAGAAATGGATTAGGAAAATATATAAAAGGTTGTATGAAATTGTTCATAATCCATATTCGCTTGTGGCGAGGGGTTAATCCTTATTATTTGGGTGGCTAAGTTTTTTTGTTAAAAGTTTTTTTTTTGTAAGATTTGGATGAATAAGTTCACGGATACCTGTTCACAGCCGCGATCTTCAGGCTGCGAACTTGGTCGCGACCGTGACGTGTAGCCGTGACCTGTACCTTTTATTCCCTTCTTGCTCATATGCTTCCCAATCGTGCTCGGATAAACTCTAATCGATTCCCTAAAAATCTCGAATGCATATAAGACCTAGAATTTTTTCACAAACACTTGGGAAACAATAAAATACGACAAATTGGGGTCGATTCCCCTATGAAAACCTACATACCAATAATACTTATGCCAAAACGCATGTTTTGCAAATATGAACGAATATGGGGCATAAATAACTTGACATGTGGCCTCGACATGGTGAATTAGCATGCAAATGCTTTGAGAATAGGGGCAAATGCTTTGAAAACCTACATATCAATAATACCTATGCCAAAACGCATGTTTTGCAAATTTGAACGAATATGGGGCATAAATAACTTGACATGCGGCCTCGACACGGTGAATTAGCATGCAAATGCTTTGAGAATAGGGGCCAAATAACACTTATTTGAGGTGTTTTCAGTCCACAAAGGGGAATACAGGCAAACACCACTAACAGTGAAAAAGAAAACTACTACTATATCCCATTTATAGGAGACCAAACAGTATTGCTCAAGCAAACCAAAAAAAAATTGCGCCCACGAAACATTCAACCTCAGTTTTAATAGTCTTTAGCAAGCTATAAATATCTCTATTGTTACTTGCATACAGGCGGCAACATCATTTCCTCCATATGTGACTCACCCATGATTGCCAGATAATCTTCCTATTTTAGTAGTCTCATTAGTGCCTCCAAAAGTACTCATCACCTAGTTAAGCTCACCCTCCCAGCTAAGACTAAGAGAATGTTGTGAGAATCTGCTGAAGAGTTAGGTAACAACTGCTTTGTAAACAAGCAGTCTGCAATACAAATGCTCTATGTCTTCCAACCCAGCATTACAGAAGCAACAACCAAGAGAACCTTTATATCTCCATTTTAGCATCTTCATTTTTGTGTTTATGTTCCCTTTAATAACTAACCAAGTTAAAACCCTCTTCCTGGGAATAGCCTTGCCTTTCCATACAATTTTCACTCATGGAACCCTTAACCGTCCAGGACGAATCAACTCCCAAACTTGTATTATTGAGTAATTGATCATAGGTGAACCATTCCACGGAATCATTCCATTAAACACAGGGAACCAGCTGAATATCTTATTTTAAGAGTTCTCCTCTAGTTCTAGGAACCAGAACTATAAGTATAATCCCAGAAATTCTTACCCTTCAATTTATAGTTGTTAACGTAGAGAGATCCATGCTGCAATAAAATCTGCCAAATATGCCTCACCATATATGCAATGCAACATTCAAATTGTTCATGTCACGAAAACCCAATCCAACCTCCTTCTTTGGAAAAGTAAGCTTCTGCGGTACTATATTAGCTCTTAACTTGAAGTCAGTTTCGATCCCCCAAATGAAGTTACTACATATCTTTTCCACCTCTGTAATACCTACCTTAGGTAATAGGAATACTGACATCCAAGCCTTTTATTCTGAAACAACAAATAAGCACATGAACTCTCGAAGGTGCTCTTTATTCTCTCTTTAGATTTAGGAGTTGTCGTTTATTGGTCTCCTTTTTCGACATTGACACGCACTGCATAAAGCTTTTGCAAACTAGCTTCTCTCCCTCATATGAACAAGACTTGATGAATCATAGTCTTCCCTTTCAAGGTCACATGTGGGGGATTTGATGGGCGGATTCGTCTTAGCCCGAGCACCACTTCCCAGCCTGCACTCCACATTGGGTTGTCACACATGTTGCGTACAATGAGAGCTATGAGGTCTCATGAATATCTAAAAGGTACTTTGGACCTTACTGCTATTTGACACATATGATCAACATCTTGAGTTTGGAACCCCTGCTCATCCTTCAGTACTCGAATCTTACTTCTTTCTGTTTTGTTCAAACTGAGCGATGAAAGTATGGAGAATTTGTATCTCCAGCTTTTAACCATATCCCTCTCGAATTTTGCCTGAGAAAGCACTCATCAGCATTCAACAGAACATAGAGTTCCTGCATTGCATCATCTGAGAACTCTTCTCTATTTGGTTTCCTCAACAGATTTTTCAAATTCTTTAGTTTCTTGCAGACCCTTATTAATGGGTGGCATGTCACCACACTTCTTCTGTATTTGGTTTCCTCAACAGAATTTTCAAATTCCCCAGTTTCTTGCAGACCCTTATTAATGGGTGGCCTGTCACCACACTACTCCACGCCTCTTTCAGAAGATCATCAAATTTAGGTGATCAATCCAAAACTTGAAGAAATTAAAAGGGTTGGTTAAGGACTTCATAGGGGCTTCAGTTTCCACATACATGAGACAATGGTCTGACACTCTCGGGGAATAGAAATAGACCTTACTTTCTTTAATTTTTCTAGCCATTCCAAATTGACAGGTACCTTGTCATGTCTCTTAGCAATTGGATTAGCTACCTGTTTGTTCAACCAGGTATACCAAGGACTAGCTTGGTGCTCTTCCAGTTGCAAATCCACAATCCACTTATTGAAATTTACTTATTGAAATTTTGTATACTAGAGTCAGGTTGGGGGAAACTTGATGCTTCAGAGGGATGTCTACTATCATTAAAATCCTCTATTATCATCCAAGGCTCATGAGTGACTTGTGTCCTACGCAACTCATCATATAATAACAGTTTACTATTCTCATCATTTGACACATACACAAATGTGGCAAAAAATGGCGGATTGTGTCCCACCGTAACTTGAATGAACCGATCCAAGGAGTGAAGGACACTAAGGGCTCGTTTGCTTGTTGGATTTGAAAATGAAGGTTTTGAGTTTCAAAAACCTTTGGATTTATGATGGATTTGTTGCATCATGGATTTGGAAGAGTACATTGTTTGTTTAGTTGATTTTTTATCATGGATTTGTGATGGATTTGTCTCACATTTTTTCCTTCCATTGTCAAATCCCAAATGAAATGTGGGATTTACAAATCCGTGGGGTCCACGGATTTGGATCTAAAAAATGGGTCCAAATCCGTAGACCCCACGGATTTGTGTCCCTCAACAAACAAAGGATTTGTGTCAACTCCATGATGCTTGGGATTTGGGTTCCAAATCCATCACCCAAATCCCACAAGCAAACGACCCCTAAGTTTGCTTTCCGGCTTCCATTGCAACCACATCTTCCCCAATCCTTTAAAATTGTGTTTCACCTTTCACTCCCAACTAGGGAATTGCTTCTTAAGCAACTTTTTTTTTTTGTCTTTAAAATAGCTAGTATGTCTATATTATATTTATTTATTTTTCTTAGTAGTGTTGTATATTTACCATCTGCATTAATA